TTCAGCATTGAGCTGGATGACCTACCACGGAGCTCAGATCTTTCCAATACCAAGAGTTGAGAAAGGACCTTCTTACCTGACGTCTGCTGGATCTTCAGTCACAAGGACATCGGTCTTGCAGCTAGCCAATGGATTGATGGAAAGCTCCACCGGAGGAACCACAAAACTTTTACTCACGGGAAGCCAAAGACCTTGGCCCAGGCTGTAGGTAGACCTTCAAAAAAGAAGACACATGAGAGCAGAAGACAAAGAACAATGCCAGTTTTAGAACTTTGGACTTTCTGGTTCCAAGACTCAGCACAGAATCTCAAAATGTGAAGTTGTGGTGACTGCCTTTCTCTGGAAACTATCATGTGGCAAAGATGAGATTCCATCAAAGGTGAGGGCTTTGAAATATTGTCTACTTTTTTTGTTTGATGAACAGAAGTGAATGAACAGAAGTGGTGGAACACTGTGTATTTATGTGTCGGAAATGGTTGCTTTTCTCTGCACTCTTTGGTCGCCATGATGTAAAAAAGATGCTGAGACTCTAGAAAGAGTGCAGAGAAGAGCAACAAAGAGGATTAGGGGACTGGAGGCTAAAACATATGATGAACGGTTGCAGGAACTGGGTATGTCTAGTCTAATGAAAAGAAGGACCAAGCGAGACATGATAGCTGTCTTCCAGTATCTCAGGGGCTGCCCCAAAGAAGAGGGAGTCAAGCTATTCTCCAAAGCACCTGAAGGCAGGACAAGAAGCAATGGCTGGAAAATGAACAAGGAGAGAAGCAACTTAGAACTAAGGAGAAATTTACGGACAGTTACAACAACTAACCAGTGGAATAGCTTTCCTTCAGAAGTTGTAAATGATCCAACTGGACACTGGAATTTTTTTTTAAAAGACATTGGATAACCATTTCTCTGAAGTGGTGTACGGTTTCCTGTCTAGGCAGGGGGTTGGACTAGAAGACCTTCAAGGTCCCTTCCAACTCTGTTATCCTATCCTATCCTATCCTATCCTATCCTATCCTATCCTATCCTA